AACATAAAAAACCCAAAATTACTTAAAATAGTAAGTCATCTTTTAGCATACAGGCAGACAACAGATCAACCCATATCCAAATAACTGTAGAATTTACAAGATTTTAACACAACAATATCTACTTTGAATAGAGGAAGCAAAAGCATCAATCTGAGATGTGCAAACACATGCTATCAAAAGAGTGTTGGCAGTCTGGGTTAGCACATCAGCTACTGTAGGATCAGTTTTGACCTTCAGTTTTATTCAATCATGAGCAAGGGCTCTCTTCACAGTCACATAATATCAAAGGACCCAATTCTCCCTGTCTCCCATTGCTAGTCCAATACTAGCATAAGTTACATTGGTTGAAATCCCAAAAGTACCCAACCAATGTGAAAATAACTTAAAGCATCATAGCTAGTTAGCTGAGAAGACATAAAAGCACTAATTTAATTCTGTTGGGCATAAATACCTATCTTCCCATGACCAATATCAACAGTGCAGCCTGAAATACGCCCAACTGCATAAAGTGATAATACTGCTTGTTCAGATGCATAAAAGCCTGAAACATTAAATGTTTCGAACATCATTTGCACCAATTGTTCTCTGACAGCCTGATAATAAAATTTTGACAAAAATAAATAAAATAGAACTTTTAGTTAATGAAATCTAGGAAAGTAGCATGTGAGCAAAAATACTCGACAGCAGCCAGAATTCAAAGACTGGAAAAATGACCATAAATGATGATTATGCCTTCAATTATAATAATATAATAATAAATGAGGACCTACAAGAGAGATAAATGTTATTCCAAAGAGCATCTGCATTTTACCATGGTCCATGGCTTAAGATCTTCATAATGACGGCACCCTGGATCATCGTTTAAAATGTTCCTAATTTCCTTAATATTTCACGACATATTACCATTTCCATGGGTAGCAACATGAAATTTTACTAGTATCCACGACATATTTCCATTTTCACTTCCATGGGTAGCAATATGAAATTTTACTAGAATTGACATATTCCCTAGTGAACACTACCAGTACTATGTGGAGTACAAGAGATAGTATCATAACATAAGTTGGTGACAATTTTGTAGATATGTGAAGTTACAAGTTATTGTCCACCTAACTTACATTATTACAACTTTGAGCTAACTTAATATTCATTTCAAACATGAAGTTAAATAATAGTTTTTTTCTAATGGTAAATTATTTGGTTGATCTATTACAACCATTTACATTTTCTATGAGTTTAAATTTTGCTTTAACTAATTCTATCATGATATTCTACTTCTAAAGCTTAAGGTTTACAGGGCAACTTCAGAACATATTCTTTTGTCTATAACCTTAGTTTCTTAGTTTTGTTTAATAATTTGGAACAAGATAATAATTTAAAAAGGTGTGCCTATGCTTCTTTTGTCATTTCATAAAATACCATTCTATATTTTGCATATTTTACAATGTTTCCACCGTATCTATAATTTTTACAATATTGCCTGATGTGGACGCCGGCAGCAGCAATTTAGTGCAGCAGCAGCAGTAATTTAGTGTTCTCAGCAGCAGCAATTTAGTGTTCTCATCCTATCTTATCTATTCAGTATTCTGCTTTCAGTAGTAGGGATTAGTNGTCTTGGTCATTTATCTTTTGAGTCTTTAAAAGTGATGTTTCCAGAATTGTTCAAGTCAGTGTCAGTTTCAGACTTTTCTTGTCAAACTTGTCAATTGAGTAAGTAATGTAGAACTCATTTTCCTTCAAAGAATAATAAATCTGAATTTCCTTTTCACATTGTTCATTCTGATGTGTGGGGCCCGGTTACTTTACCATCTAAGAGTGGCTACAAGTATTTTATTACCACTATTGATGATTATTCTAGATATACATGGGTATATCCCATGCGGACAAGGGATGAAGTACCAAAATTTATCCAAGACTTTCAGCGGATGATCTTCACCCAATTTCAAACAGAAATCCAAATTTTTCAATCAAATAATGCTAAAGAGTATTTTCATAGTAATCTCACGGAATTTTTTGCTTCACATGATTCACTTCATCGTAGCTCTTGTGCCCAAACACCACAACAAAATGATGTTGCCGAAAGAAAAGGCCGACACCTCCTTGAAGTGGCCCGAGGTTTACTAATCCATATGAATGTCCCAAAACAATTTTGGCTTGAGGTTGTCCTTTGTGCTACCTATCTCGTTGGTTAAAGTGCAAAGCCCCACATCAGCTTCTTTCTCCTAAGGCTCCCCTTCTTTCCATTCCTCCTCGTGTGTTTGGTTGACGTTGTTTTGTCCAAAATCTGTCACCCACTCGTAGAAAATTAGACCCTTGTGCTATTCCTTGCATCTTCCTGGGGTATTCTTTCACTCAGAAGGGATACCGTTGTTTTGATCTTGTTTCTCGGAAGTTTTATGTTTCCATGGACGTGTCTTTTTTTGAGAGTGAGCTTTTTTCCCTGTTTCTCCTCAGGGGGAGTGTAAGAATGAGGAGAAACTGGTTCAGCTCCCTCCTCTTCCTGATCCTCCTCCTTTTTGTGTCTTCTTTTGTCGTCACAAAGGCCAACCAAGTTCAAGAGTTGTGTAGAACCTAAAAGTTGTACCTCCAATGCCATCAAACTCCCCGAGGGCAAATCATACTCACTCAGGTATCTTGGTTCCTATCGATGTCCTTGACCCTATTGCTATTGATACCTCTATTGCTAATGACCTTGACCTTCCTATTGCTCACAGGAAAGGTGTTAGATCTTGCACCACTAAACACCCCATTTCTCACTTTGTTTCCTATGAAAACATTTCACCCTCTCTTCAGGCATTTCTTACTTCCATTGATAGCGTTCATATCCCTAAGAATGTGGTAGAAGCTCTTTCAGTACCTGAATGGGCAGATGCCATGAAGGAAGAAATTAATGCTCTACATAAAAATGGCACATGGGAACTAGTAGATCTTCCTAAGGGAAAGGATCCAGTTGGATGTAAATGGGTGTTCACAGTCAAACATAGGGCTGATGGCATTGTGGAGAGGTATAAAGCTCCCATGCAATGGTTCAGCAGAAATGATACAAGCAATGTCAATCTGATCACACATTGTTTGTGAAAAGAAGGGAAGGGAAAATTGCTACTCTGATAGTATATGTTGATGATATAATTATCACTGGCGATTGGAAAGATGAAATCCAAAAGTTGAAGATTTTTCTTGCTATACAATTTGAAGTAAAGGATCTAGGTCCTCTAAGATACTTTCTTGGAATTGAAGTTGCCCGCTCACAAAAGGGTATTTTCATTTCCCAAAGGAAGTATATCCTAGATCTATTCCAGGATAGAGGAAAATTGGGAGCGAAGCCAGTTGATTCCCCTATTGATCCTAACTACAAATTAGGTGACTGCCAAGGTGAACCTATCAAGGATGTGAAACAGTTTCAGAGACTTATAAGAAGATTGTTATATCTTTCTATGACCTGCCCTGACATTGCTTATGCAGTTGATGTTCTTAGCCAGTTCATGCATGCTCCCAAGACCATTCACCTTGAAGCAGTAGAAAGAGTTCTCAGATATATTAAGAAGTTCCCAAGCGCTAGTTTGTTGTTTCAAAAGCACGGACATCTAAAATTTGAAGTGTACACTGATGCAGATTGGGCAAGATCCCTAAATGACAGGAAGTCAACTAGTGGCTATTGTGCCTTCATAGGAGGAAACCTAGTTACCTGAAGAAGCAAAAAGTAGAATGTGGTAGCTAGATCCAGTGCTGAAGCTGAATATCGGGCAATGGCTCATGGAGTGGCTGAAATTATGTGGCTAAAGAATCTATTGAGTCAGTTGGATTTTCCAATGAACAGACCTATGACCCTATTCTGTGATAACAAAGCAGCCATAAACATTGTTGTTAATCCAGTGCTGCATGATAGAACTAAATATATCGAAGTCGACAAACACTTTATCAGAGAGAAAGTTATCGCAGGGGAAGTGTGTACTCCTTATATCATCTCTGAGGATCAACTTGTAGACATCTTTACAAAAGGGCTACACCATTCACGGCATTATGACTTATGTGACAAGTTGGGCATGATTGACACCTATGTCCCAACTTGAGGGGGAGTGTTGAAAGCTTGTATTTTCGTAAGTATAGTACCGCAGGGATACTATTGTACTTTTGCCCTTTTATTTTTTAGTTGTTGTCGCCCTAGTATATATAACAAAATAGCTGGCGCCACCAGCATGCTTTTTGACTCTCAATCTTTTCTCCTCTCTTTTGCTCTCTCTCTTCTCTCTCTCTCCTTTCTCTTCCATCATTGCACTGATAACAAACAATATTGATTAAAATTATTCTTTTACCCCACATCATGGTAACATATCATGTAAAAGAAGCACTCAAACACCCCAGCCTATTTGTTACAAACAGCCAAGCCTTTCCCTAGCAACACCAACTGAAGTGTGAAAATCTAGTGACAACCTGTGAGTCATGAAGCTAAGTCAAACAGGTTTCCTAACTAATTGAAGAAGGAAATCCCAACACTCAACAATAGGCTTCAGCTACAAATAGGACACACTATAACTCCCTAATTCCACTAAACATAAAAAACCCAAAATTACTTAAAATAGTAAGTCATCTTTTAGCATACAGGCAGACAACAGATCAACCCATATCCAAATAACTGTAGAATTTACAAGATTTTAACACAACAATATCTACTTTGAATAGAGGAAGCAAAAGCATCAATCTGAGATGTGCAAACACATGCTATCAAAAGAGTGTTGGCAGTCTGGGTTAGCACATCAGCTACTGTAGGATCAGTTTTGACCTTCAGTTTTATTCAATCATGAGCAAGGGCTCTCTTCACAGTCACATAATATCAAAGGACCCAATTCTCCCTGTCTCCCATTGCTAGTCCAATACTAGCATAAGTTACATTGGTTGAAATCCCAAAAGTACCCAACCAATGTGAAAATAACTTAAAGCATCATAGCTAGTTAGCTGAGAAGACATAAAAGCACTAATTTAATTCTGTTGGGCATAAATACCTATCTTCCCATGACCAATATCAACAGTGCAGCCTGAAATACGCCCAACTGCATAAAGTGATAATACTGCTTGTTCAGATGCATAAAAGCCTGAAACATTAAATGTTTCGAACATCATTTGCACCAATTGTTCTCTGACAGCCTGATAATAAAATTTTGACAAAAATAAATAAAATAGAACTTTTAGTTAATGAAATCTAGGAAAGTAGCATGTGAGCAAAAATACTCGACAGCAGCCAGAATTCAAAGACTGGAAAAATGACCATAAATGATGATTATGCCTTCAATTATAATAATATAATAATAAATGAGGACCTACAAGAGAGATAAATGTTATTCCAAAGAGCATCTGCATTTTACCATGGTCCATGGCTTAAGATCTTCATAATGACGGCACCCTGGATCATCGTTTAAAATGTTCCTAATTTCCTTAATATTTCACGACATATTACCATTTCCATGGGTAGCAACATGAAATTTTACTAGTATCCACGACATATTTCCATTTTCACTTCCATGGGTAGCAATATGAAATTTTACTAGAATTGACATATTCCCTAGTGAACACTACCAGTACTATGTGGAGTACAAGAGATAGTATCATAACATAAGTTGGTGACAATTTTGTAGATATGTGAAGTTACAAGTTATTGTCCACCTAACTTACATTATTACAACTTTGAGCTAACTTAATATTCATTTCAAACATGAAGTTAAATAATAGTTTTTTTCTAATGGTAAATTATTTGGTTGATCTATTACAACCATTTACATTTTCTATGAGTTTAAATTTTGCTTTAACTAATTCTATCATGATATTCTACTTCTAAAGCTTAAGGTTTACAGGGCAACTTCAGAACATATTCTTTTGTCTATAACCTTAGTTTCTTAGTTTTGTTTAATAATTTGGAACAAGATAATAATTTAAAAAGGTGTGCCTATGCTTCTTTTGTCATTTCATAAAATACCATTCTATATTTTGCATATTTTACAATGTTTCCACCGTATCTATAATTTTTACAATATTGCCTGATGTGGACGCCGGCAGCAGCAATTTAGTGCAGCAGCAGCAGTAATTTAGTGTTCTCAGCAGCAGCAATTTAGTGTTCTCATCCTATCTTATCTATTCAGTATTCTGCTTTCAGTAGTAGGGATTAGTAGGAGTCTTATCTATTCAGTGTTCTTATCTTATCAGTTCAGTAGTATGGATTAGTAGGGGAGTCTTATCTTATCTTATCAGTTCAGTAGGATAGATTTTTAGGGAGTCTTCCTAATTAGCAAGGAGTCTTACTAAAAATAGGACTCTTATCTCTTGTAATCTCCTATTTAAGGAGCTGAGAATATTGAATAAAATCATCGAAAATTTCAGTCAAGAAAGAGGGCAAGGAGAGTTGGGTGATCTCTTGGACAAATCACCATTAAGGCACCAAGATAGGTTCATCAAGAGCAGGGAGGAACAAGGAAAAACAGGAGGTTTTCCCCGTGGACCGACCCGTGACGAGATCCTATTCCCGGGCCCATAACATTCCCATACAATAATTCCGACGTTTCCGACATGTTTCTTATATTTGGATAACTGACATTTCCACCGACATCGACATTTTAAACCTTGCCCTGGATTGAACATAGGCATTAATCCTTCGTAGACCATGAACTTAGAACAGTGCTGGTTTCAGTATGCAAACCATGTTTTGCTGCACATGTAAGTACTAAAACGGCATGTGATATCAATCACCTTAAGAAATTATAAGGTCGTCTAATATATAACGTTTCTCTTCTATTATTTTGTCTGTCTTTTCAAAGTCAACAATAAAAAGTATTTGGAGTTTGCTACCTAAATCTACACACCATAAAGACCTACTAAATTTGAAATCAGAAGTAAGAGGAAGGGGAATCTGGACAATATGCTGATTGTTTTTTTTTTTTGATGAATAATATGCTGATTGTTTATGTAGACAATATCGTTGTTACTGGTGATGATCTGCAGAAAGTGTTGAACTGAAGGCACTCATTGCTTCAGAGTTCAAGATTAATGATGTTGCCTTAGAACTGAAGTTGCTAGATCCAAGAAAGGTATTTTTATCTGTCAATAGAAATATGTTCTTAATCTTCAAGAGACTGGTAAGTTGTTTTTTTTGGAAAAAAAAAGGTAAAGTAAGAATTTATTAGACTAGAATATAAATAGTACAACACAGAGGCAGAGCTGCCCACTAGGCCAACCCCCTACAAATGACATGCCACAACAAGGATCATTACAAAGACAGGTCATAGGCAGATCAGCAAACTCTCCGGACACAAAGCCACAACCCAATTCTGCCGATTACTTCGTTGATCAGCTCATCCACACATCTTGATCTTTGGGAGAAGATTACTCTGCTTCTTGCAGACCAGATTATCCAGGTGATGGTTTCAGGAACAAACCTCCAGATGACCTTTCCTTTGGCAGCACACCCAGACCAGGCAAGGTTCTAAATATCAATACAGGCTGATACACCGGATGGGGCGTGTTGGCCTGTACCGTTGGGCACTTTTTTTTTTCAAACCTGTTCCCTCGGGTTGGCATAGGCCTGTCTACCCCCTGAAACAGGTCAACCCCCAAAACCAAGCTTAAAGTGGCATATTAGTGGGTCATCTATACGATATGGATTGCCCAATACGGGCTGATACGTTGCGGAATTTCAATCCTTGATACCAGGTTCTGAAAATCTCGAAAAGGGTTCCAGGCACTACCCAGTTAAGATTAGCTTAACCAATAAAAAAAAAACTCCCAAATATGTAGGCTAACTGGCAAATCTACTAAGACTCTTATAGATTTTAATCATAAAATAGGAGCAAATGATGGGGACTTCTTTCCGAAAAGGAAGCTTTTTAAGTACTTGTAAATTGGCTACTCTATCTCTGCTAAACCATGCCAGATACTCCTCTGCAGTTTAAGTGTTGTGAACAGTTTATTTATCAAAAAGAAAAAAGAAAAAGTGTTGTGAACAGTTTATGCACCATCCTAGAACCTCTTACATGCAGGCAGTTATGAGATTGTGTTATTTGAAGGGTTGTCCTAGTAAGGCGATATTATACTCTTTGCCAGTTGTTATTGAGCAATCAGCGTCTAGGGAGAATGTGTTGGTGTCAAATGTGTATGGGCCAAATGGGGATGGAAGCAGGGAGGAACTTTCGGAAGAACCGGAAAGATTTCATGATGCAGGATCGGAAATCTCAGATCTTATACCACGTCAATCAGTTTTAAATTATCCTGTGAAGAGTCCTGATGTTGTACTGTATTATCATAGTCCCTGTTGTATGCTACACATTCTTTATTTCTTTGTTTTCTCCTTCTCTAGTCCTATAAGGGCTTTTCTGTAATTGTACACACACTGACACAAATATATATATATATAATGGATGGACTCTTTGGGTAGGGGTCAATTCATTCTTTTTGGCACCCCTGATTTCTTGTGTTCTCCCTTGTACACACTGGCAAAGTGACATGGTATCATAGAAGGTCATTGATACCAGCTTGTAATCTCAGTTTTTTGTTCCAGTGTGAAGGGTAATCTTTAGGCCTTCGACATCTTTTTTTTTTGATAAATGAGAGTAGTTTTATTAATTAAAAAAATAGCAGTACATTCAGACTAGGAAGAGGCACGAGGTGTTACCTCCCCCTAAGACTGAGTCATAAACACTAAACAAACAAAAGCCTGAAGCACAGTTACAAAGTGGCCCAAAATAGATCTCCCCTTGACACCCCTTGCTTGGCCAA